TCCCCCCGTGTCCCCCCGTGTCCCCCCTTACGTAGCCGTAGGTGAGGTTGCCCTTGGGGACACCGGCCACGAAGTCTGCGGGGACAAAGGGACAAAAGGACAAAGGGACGCGCTCAGGTGTGGCCGGGGGTGGCCGTGTCACCCTCGCGTGTCACCCTCGCGTGTCACCCGCTGTCACCCACCTTGCGTGGTGTCGCCGCTGAACTCCCCGACTGTCACCGAGTAGCCTGGGGTGGGGGGGAGAGAGTGTCACCTGTGTGTCACCTGTGTGCCACCTGTGTGCCACCCTGGTGCCACCGCCCATGTCCCCCATGTAGCTGTCCCCATGTCCCCATGTCCCCCAGCTGTCCCCAGGTGTCCCCATGTTGTCCCCCAGGTGTCCCTGTGTCACCCATGTAGCTGTCCCCATGTCCCCCAGGTGTCCCCGTGTCACCCATGTAGCTGTCGTCATGGCTGGGCTCCGCCTGCCGCGTCTGGAGCTGTCCCGGCACCTCCTGGATCAGGTACTCGGGGAAGTTCCCGGCCGCGATCTGCTCCTGGGTGGCCGGGGGCACCGGGGGGACACCGGGGGGACACCGGGAGACCGGGGCTCGGCCCCGCTCGGGACCCCCGCGCCGGACCCTCCCGGTTCCCGTTCCCCGGCCCCGCTTCCTGCTTCCCATCCCCGGTTCCCGTCCCGGTTCCGATTCCCCGCCCGCTGCCCCGTTCCCGCTGTCCCGGCCCGGTCCCCGGGACCGCCCCGCTCCCCGGCTCCCTCTCCCCCGTCCCGCTCCCGGTTCACACTTCCCGTTCCCGTTCCCGGTTCCCGCCGCCCCCGCCCGTTCCCGTTGGCCCTTCCCCTTCCCGGTCCCGCTGTCCCGTTCCCGTTATCCCGCTCCCGGTCCGTCCCTCCTCGCCCCGCCCCGCGGCCGCTCCCCGTCCCACCGGGCCGCTCCCGCTCCTCGGCGGCCGCTCCCGCTCCCGGTGCCCGGTTCCCGTCCCTTTCCCGGTCCCGGCACCGCTCCCCGCCGCCCCTCGGTCCCTCCGTTCCCGTCCCGCCGCCCTCGCCGCTCCCGGGGCCGCTCCCGCCCCGGCGCCGCTGCCGCCCCCGCCCCGTCCCGTCCCGGGTCCCCGTGGGCGGTCCCGGTTCCCGGCGCGGTTGGCGGTGCCGCTCCCGGTTCGGTTCCCGGTTCGGTTCCCGGCCCGGCTCCCGGCTCGGTTCCCGGCCCGGTTCCCGGTACCTGCGGGGCTCGGGCAGGTAAAAGTCCAGCGCGAAGCCGAAGAAGGAGCCGGGGGCCCCGCGGAAGACCACGGGCCGCGACGCCTCCAGGTTGAAGGCGGCCACCGGCGGGAGCAGCAGCGGCAGCAGCAGCGGCAG